TCCTAACAACATGTACATAATCCAACGATGTAGCATAACTCATAACAACACCAACTGTGGTCTCATGTAAATAACATATAATCAAAAGGAACACTTTTATGTTAACTGAACAAATGATACAAAATTCATAGGCGACAAGTTCATAAAAGGATTACACAGGTATTCAAATAAGTAAGGATACTTCTTCTTCATCTCTTCCTCGGCCTCCCAAGTGGCCTCTTCAACCTGTTGGTTTCTCCATAACACCTTCACAGAGGCCATTTCTTTATTCCTCAACTTTCGAACTTGCCTATCAAGAACGGCAACTGGAATTTCTTCATATGACAATTCTTCATTAACCTCAATGGTCTCAACCGGCACAATAGCTGACGGATCTCCAACTACCTTCTTCAATATAGACACATGGAATACCGAGTGGACTAATGACATTTCGGGTGGTAGCTCAAGCTTGTATGCCACCTGGCCAATTCTCTGAGTGATTTTGTACGGCTCGACATACTTCGGACCCAATTTCCCCTTTTTCCCAAAACGCATAATGCCCTTCATAGGGAAAACCTTCAAAAATAACCAATCATCTTCTTTGAACTCTAAGCCTCTGCGACGAACATCCGAATAGGATTTTTGACGATTTTGAGTAGTTTTTAATCGCTCCTTTATGATCTTAACTTTTTCCATAGCCTGATGTACAAGGTCTGGCCCTATCAACTCTGCTTTCCCAATCTCGAACAACCCAATGGGAGATTTATATCTCCTACCATATAATGCCTCAAATGGTGCCATCTGAATACTTGCATGAAAGATGTTGTTATAAGCAAACTCTATGAGTGGCAAATGATTATCCCATCCACCCTTGAAATCAAGAACACAGGCACGCAACATGTCCTCAAGCGTCTGAATAGTCCGCTCTGCTTGCTCGTCGGTCTGTGGATGGAAAGTTGTACTAAGATTCACTTGAGTACCCAAACCTTGCTGAAATGTTTTCCAAAAATTGGCCGTGAATTGAACCCCTCGATCGGAAATGATAGAAACTGGAGTGCCATGTAGCCTGACTAATTCCTTGATATAAAACTGAGCATACTGTTCTGTTGTGTCGGTAGATTTAACTGGCAAGAAATGTGCTGATTTCGTGAGTCGATCCACGATCACCTAAATTGAGTCAAACTTGCGTGGAGTGCATGGTAATCCTACCATAAAATCCATATTAATCATCTTCCACTTCCATATTAGGAATTTCTACTATTATTAACCTCTACGCCTACTTTGGCATCACAGAATCCGGGTTTTTAGAAAAAATTTTACGGGGCCTTACAGCCAGTGAACCTAAAGTTGTGATTTTTGGAATATTCTATATGTTGATATTTATGATGATGGTCCATAAAAGGTAAGATATGAAAGTATGGAATATGAAATACGGCCATTGTACCATGAAAGAAGAATCATATGTATGGCCAAGAGAGCCAATGAAATAATGATTTTGTAAGTAGTTGAAAGTAATTGTGAAGTGATATATGGTGTGAAAGGTTATGAGATGAACGTATTTGTATTTATGTTTTCAATGTGTTATAAGCTCCTACGCCCTCATGAGGAGAGGCTATGGCATTCCTAAATATTTTAAATGTTCTTGATGTCCTATGATCACCTATGGCAAGTACAAGTAAGTGATGGTATGAACATTAAATGTGGTCGTTTGCCAAAATGTGAATTATGAGGTGTTGTATGTCCCTATGGTTTCAATCATTGTATGTATGCTACCAAAATAATTAATGTAAATGACTTCGACGTTAAGTCCCCAAGAGCCATGAACTTAGCTAATGGCCTCAAGATGTCAAGTGAGTGGATAACGAGATGAAAGGGAGATGTCCTATGCTAAATGATGATGAACCTTAAGAAAAGAAATTGGGCCCATGTTCCATTGAAATCGACTTATTGATTTACCATGCATGTGCTAATGTAATGAGTTGTGTTTCTATATGATGAGCATGAACATGAAGTATTCAAACGATATGAGAAATTACGACCTTAAATGTAATGACAAACTATGTCACTTTGAGTTTATATATGGTATTGTGATTGGGATTATACCTCCACCTGCATATATTAGGGTGAGGCGGCAGGGCCGCTTTGTATAGGAATTATGGTATTGTGATACACCTCCACCCGCATATATTGGGGTGAGGCGGCAGGGACGTTTTGTGTAGGGATTGTGGTATTGGGATTACACCTCTACCCGCATATATTGGGGTAAGGCGGCAGGGCCGCTTTGTGTAGGGATTGTATTGTGATATATCTCCACTCGCATATATTGGGGTGAGGCAGCATGGCCGCTTTGTGTAGAGATTGTGGTATCGTGATACACCTCTACCCGCATATGTTGGGGTAAGGTGGCAGGGCCGCTTTGTGTGAAGGTGGTAACAGAGGATCCCCGAATTAATATCTATAAATTTGAATGAAAGCTCTTAATAAATTTGCTTGACGTTAACGGCTATCTAAGCCCTTTTACTGTTACCATGATTCATCATATTCATGTTGTATTTCCAAGCCCTTGAATAGGTGTATTTGTATTGTGTAAGTGAACACTGTGAACGGTCTATGAAATGCATAGGTGTATTGTATAGGTGATACTGTGAACGGTCTATGAGACGCATATGTGTATAATATGATATGTGAATACTAAGGACGGTCTATGAAATGTATATGTGTAAAATAAGGGAGGAAGGTGCCACTACCATTGGCCTAGTTTTTACATGTTGTTACAATTACATTATATTATGTAATCCATGCATAGTTCATATGGCTCAGTTGATCCTAAAAGAAGTTTAGAATGATGCAAGTATAATAAGACTTGAAATGTGATTCTATTGGATGTTTCGTAGTTTCTTGATGTACTTTATTTCCCTCTTATTTGAGTTACCATATTTTCATATGTTGTTTTGACTGCCTTACATACGAGTGCTATTCCATATGTACTCACATCTCTTATGCCGGTTGCGCTTCCTGTGTTTGGGGCGTGACAACAATGATGACTATACATGCTAAAGTAACTCAGTTAAGGCATAAAAAGGAAACTACTTAGATAAAACAGGAATTTCAACATTTAACCCGGTACGCACTCGTTACGTCGCGTACACGACTCTCACATATCACAAATTGTAACAACAATACTAAATCCTAAGGAAGGAGTTTTTCCACACGAGGTTAGACAAGTCACTTACCTCAAACCTCGCTCAATCAATCAATAAAAAGGCCTTTCCCTCGATTTTCCAACTCCGAACGGCTCGAATCTAGCCAAAATAATTTCATACTATAAATAAAACTATAGGAAAATAATTTAAATAATGAAATTACAACTTTAGCAAAGAATTGAAAATTTGCTCCAAAAAGTAGACCCGGCCCATGTCTCGGAACCTGACCAAAATCATAAAATCCGAACACCCATTTGATATCGAGTCCAACCTTATAAGAATTACTCAAATCCGACCTCAAATCGCCTTTCAAATCCCCAATTTTTAGCCTAAGATATTTTCCCAATTTTTCTCCAAATTTCCAACTAAAACACTAATTTAATGATAAAAACAACAATAGATTCGTGGGGATTAATAAAAAAAATGAGTCAAGAATCCTTACCCAAATGCTTCCTCTGAAAATCCCTCAAATATTCGCCTCAATCCGAGCTCTCTAGGTCCAAAAATAGATAATGCAATCAAACCTTCGAACTTAGGCCTTTTCTGCTCCACGATTTCGCATCTGCGAACCCACAGCTGCATCTGCGGCTTCGCACCTGCGGAATTTCCATCGCAGGTGCGGACTTCACTTAAGTCCACTAAGTCCGCTTCTGCGAGCAAACGGCCGCACTTGCGTGTGCGTGCTTGTGACAAAATGTGCCGCACCTGCGCATTTCCCGCACTTGCGAGTCATACCTGGACTGCCTATTTCTGCTTCTTCTCTCCATCGCTCGTACATGTGAGTTCGTACCTGCGGCCAATCCCACCGCAGATGCGATGACACCAGAAGCTGGGAGCTTCAACAATTGCAGAAGTCCAAAAATGATCCGATGTGGATCCGAAACGCCCCTGAGGCCCCCGGGACCTTCACAAATTATACCAACAAGTCCTAAAATACGATACGAACTTAGTCGAGGCCTCAGATCACATTAAACAACAACAAAAATGCGAATTGTGCATCGATTCAAGCCTAATGAATTTTTTCAACTTTTGCCAGTTAACGTCGAAATGACCTACGGACCTCCAAATCAATATCCGGACAGGCTCCCAAGACCAAAATCACCATATGGATCTATTGGAACCGTCAAAACTCCATTCCGAAGTCGTCTTCACATAATTCGAACTACAGTCGACTCCTATGACTTTAACTTTCAATTTACGGACTAAGTGTTTCATTCCACTCCGAAACTCTCCCGAACCTGACACCAAGAACCCTGACAAGTCAAGTAAACACAAAATGAGATAGAGGGAGCAATAAATAGGGGATCGAAGCTAGCACTCTCAAAACGATCGGTCGAGTCGTTATAAAAAATTAATAGATTGAAGAAGAAGAAAAAAAAAGATTGAAGAAGAAAATTGGAGAAGAAATATGGGGAGTGAGAAGAAAAAATACGAGTAGAGAGAATAAATAAGAAATTAGGTTTATTTAGGATTTGGCTGTATAATGTTAATTTTTTCGGGTTACCTTTGCCAAACCTAATATAAGGTTAGAATATTGCTAATTCTCTTTATGTGTTGTCATACCATGCCATTTCCATCCAAAGATCTAATGCCTAATTCTATTTTTTTGTTTCCATTATTTTTTAAAATTGGCTTCAATCTTTGTTCTTATTTGAAGTTGGTTTTGTATTGAAGAGAAAACTCCTTCCATTATCTATAAATAGAGTAACTTTGAAGAATTGCAATGTAATAAAAAGTTGGGCAAGGAAATCAATCAAAAGTTATTTGGATATTGTTTATTCTATTTCGTAGTTTAATTTTTCGCAGTTAAGTACTTAAATGGTCAGTTTTTGCTTTCTGTTAGATCGGAAGACTACAATTAGGCGGACTAAACCGGTAGTTGGCTCCTATTCAAGATATGGACGTAGTGCCCACGTTGCTGATATGTGCATTGTTACCAGATTTTGTCATATCCCTTTTTACCGAAAATCTTGGAAGGCAATTATCTGTAGTTTCTGTTGTGTCATTCTTAAATCTTATAGATAGCTAACTTCTTTTCCAGCTCTCTTGTTCCCTACCATACTCCTAAGCTAGGCCTGTTTTGGTGTTATTTGATTTGATTTGAGGCCTCGAACAGGTTCGTGTCATAATTTGGAATTGGTTGGCGTGATTAAACGGGGTCTCGAGGACCTCGGGTGTGTTTCGGATGGATTTCGGTTCATTTGGATCATGTTGGTTGAAGCTGGTTTGGGGCAGGGATCTGGTGTGGTCGCACCTGCGGACCATTAGACGCAGGTGCGATGGTCGTAAAGCGGATTTCATGGACGCATCTGTGAGGAGGCTGGAGTTGGGATGTTTCCGCATATACGGGATTTTGTGCGCACATGTGGTGCCGCATAAGCACATTTTGGACCAGGTCGTGTATGTCCACAGGCGCGGAAGGTTTTGCGCAAGTGCGAGAAGCGCAGATGAGGAGCTGGAGCGCACCTACGAATATGCAGATGCGCAATTTAGACACAGGAGCAGACACCTGGATGCAGTTTCGCAGATCCAATTGAGGGTCCGCAAAAGCGGAAGTGCTATGTTATATATTGAGGTTTTGATATTTTTATCACTTGTTGAGTTAGAGAGCTCAGATTTGGGCGATTTTGCAGGAAACTTTTACCATTTGGATTGGGTAAGTGTTCTTGACCCGAATTTAGTTATATTTCAGGATTCCATCTTTATTTTTATTATCTAATTAGTGATTTGAATTAGAAAAATTGAGGATTTTTGTAAAAACTTTCTATAATGTAAAATGATGATTTGAAGGTCGATTTGATGACGAAATTAGATAATTTTGATATGGTTGGACTCGTATCAAAATGGGCGTTCGGATTTTGTGAGTTTTGTCGGGTTTCGAGGTGCGAGTCAGGGGTTGACTTTTTGGGTTAATATTTTGGTTTTCATTAAATATCGAAACTTTATTATCCGAAATTATTTTCTATAATTTTTATTTATGATAGTAAGTTATTTTGGCTAGATTTGAGCCGTCCGGAGGTTGTGTAACGCAAGAAAATCATTTTAGAATATTGGTTTAGCTTTCTTGAGGTAAGTATCTTGCATAACTTTTTGTGGGGGAACTACCCCTTAGGATTTGGGATTTATTATATTATTTGAATCAGAAAGGACAATTGAAGCGTTGAAGCCCAGTTTCACAGCTTAGAGGTATGACAAGAGTTGAAGATTAGACTTGCTTGATATCACGACCCCAATTTTCCTCCGTAAAATGTTATGATGGCACCTAATCTTAGGGACTAGGTAAGCCTAATACTTACTAAATTAATGTCAAAATTTAACCAACAACTATTAAATGCGAAATAGGGATTACTATGCGAGCCAACAATCCCAAAACCGGTAGTACAAGTCATAAGCCCTATAAAGTTTACTAAAAAGCTCTAAATACTACTGTTCCAGAATAGAATTAAACAGTACAAGGTTAAATTTCAGAATGTGACTCTGAGGCCTGCGAACGCGACAACAGGTATACCTTGAGTCTCCACAGCAATGCCCGATCAGCTAGCAAATGATCAACAACTCTGAGGTACCTAGATCTACACAAAAATGTACAGAAAGCGTAGCATGAGTACACCACAGCCGTACCCAATAAGTATCAAGAGTAACCTCGGTGGTGTAGTGATGAGGGACAGTCAAGACACATACTGGACTTAATAACCTGTACCGGTATGAATATGAAACTAACAGTGAACAATATCATTATAAGGTTAAGCATGGTAGAAGTAACGAAACAAATAATCACAATAGGAAACTAGAAACAACTATTAGCAACAGGAAAACAAACAGGTACTACACCGTAGAGTAAGCTGAATACAGTTTAAATCCGGTGAAACCAAATGACGGAAAGCAAGTAAAAACTCAATAAGAACAACCGCTTTCACACAAGATTTATTCAAGAATTTCCCCGAGGTACCAAACCTTAAAATCACAAATCACGGGTCTCGAATCACGAACCCAAATCACTTGGCATCTTGTGCCCACATTACAAATTTCAACTGCACGGATAACTCATGCGCCAATTCCATTAATCTCATATCCGTATGGACAACTCACGCGCTAAGGGAGCGACAATATCTCATATCTGCATGGACAACTCACGTGCCAACAATAACAATAATTCATAACCGCACGGACAACTCACGTGTAAATAGTAGATCTTTCACACAGAAGACAAGTATACGAGAATATATGTAAATGGTCAATAGACATCAGGGTTCATCTTATCAAACCGATATGGGTGATTAATTACGTGTATGCTTGTGCAAGTGTTCTATCACAACTCGAATCATCATGTAAGAGAAAAGATAATGAATGGCACATAATGAATAATCACCACAAAATGTACTCTGAATAACTCACACAAGGTAGGCACACTACTATACAAATATGATCAATAACAATGCCCCCATGCCATCACAAATCATCCCCGACATAACCCACCTTGTCTTGCCACGTGCGCAACAATAAAGTAAATGCCCGCCTTATCTCGCCGCAAGCGCATAATAATATTTTCACCTTGTCTCGCCACATGCGCAAACCCACCCACCCCCACACACACACAGATATATATATATATATATATAGCCCGCTTGTCCTGCATGTGAAAATATAAATAATAATTATAGCACAGACAACTTATGTGCGAATACCCGAAATCCGTTAGAAAAGTTGTTCCTTGACAAGCCCCACGATGCTTCTGGCAGCCATCATCGCAGGGACGAAGAGATTCCCAAGACCATAACTATAGACTCTCTCAATAATACCACGTGTGCCAAAACATAACAATACAATATAGAGATTTTCACCATATGTGCCCATATGCAATAACTTTTCCTCAAAATAATTTCAATACCACAGCCATGCATAGTCCTCGGCTCAACAACACTGAGTGCAACAACAACAACAACAATAACACAAGGGTATGGCAAGTAAAATAACCCAATAACTTCAGAACACAAGTAAACAGATGAACGAGCTCACAATGGAGACATAACAAGAAATAATGGCTTCAAATAAGAATAACTCACAAATAAGAAAGGTATTGTATATCAACGATATCGAATAAGAATAGCTCAACAATCGGGGAGACAATATATCACAAAGATTTCAAATAAAAATAACTCAAAAATAAGAGAGGAAACATGTAACGACAATTTCAAGTAACGATAAATCACAATGGAAGAGATAGCATATAATAAAAAGGGAAACAACTCCAATTAAAACATATAATAGTATATTTGGCAACAAAGGTAGAACATGAACCAATCAACTTCAAATAAGGCATGTAAGGGTAATTTAGCAATGGAGGATATAACATGATAAGGCAATTTTATTTTAATAAGCATAAGAAACCTAAGAGTCAAGACTGGTCAAATTTCCACACATAAGCCATGTACACACTCGTCACCTCATGTACACGTCTTTCACGTAGTTCAAATAGTGCAAACAACCCAATTCCTATGAGGTAGTTTTCCCACACAATGTTAGACAAGATACTTACCTCGACGAAGCTAAAGCGATAATTTAAAATGATCATCGCGAGTGAAAATACTTTCGAACGGCTCAAATCTAACCAAAATAATTTCATAACATAATTAAAACTCATAGGAACAATTCCGGATAATAAAATTCTGAATTTTAATTAAAACTAAAAAGTCAACCAAAGAGTCAACTCGGGGCCCGCACCTCGGAACCCGATAAAAATTTATGAAATCCGAATATTCATTCTGATACGATTCCAAGCATACCAAAATTACTAAATTCCGACCCCGATTCAGCTTTCAAAACTTCAAATCAAGTTTTGGAAAATTTCTATTCTAATACTCCAAATTACAAAAATAGGTGCTAGAAATAGTGTTAGATTCATGAATAACGGACCAAATCAAGTTAATATTACTTACCCCAGTCCAATTTGTGAAGTTTGCCTCTAAAATTGCCCAAACCGAGCTCCCGAACTCTAATTATATTAAACATGGTGAAACCCCCATTTTTAGAAACCTCTCCAAGGAAGTAGCATTTGATACCTGAGATTTATAAATCGCATTTGATAGACCGAGACTTATAAATCACATTACACACCTGAGACTTATAAATCGCATTTGACACCTGCGATTTGCCTCTGTTCCCTCAAACACCGAAAAACAGCATTCTTTCCCGACACGAAAATGGGCATAACTCTCTCATACGACCTCAGAATGCGATGATTCTTGTTGCTATGATTCTGTAATTATGATACGGATCTGATGGTTCATTCAAATAACAAATTAAAGATTGTTTTCACAATGTGGTACCCTTTATGCCAAAAGAAACAATGTCGAAACATGAAATAAGAGCGCAACACAATCCAAATCCATCTGAAACTCACCCGAGCCCCATGGGACCCTAACCAAGTATACTAACAAGTCCCATAACATGAGCGGGCTTGCACGAAGCCTCAAATTATCGCTAACAACACTAGAATCACGAATTACGCATCGATTTAAGCCTAAGAAACTTATGAACTTCCGAATTTCAAAACTAATGTCGATTCATACCAAACCAACTCTGATTGACTTCAAATTTGGCACAAAAGTCATAAATGACAGTTACGGACCTTTTCCAACTTTCGGAATATGGATCCGACCCTGACATCAATAAAGTCAACTTCTAGTCAAACTTTCTAAAATCTTCCATTTTTCCAACTTTCGCCAATTCATGCCGAAACGACCTACGGACCTCTAAATCAACATTGGGACACGCTCCTAAGACCAAAATCACCATACGAAACTATTGGGACCATCAAAACACTATTCCAGAGTCCTCTACACAAAAATCAAATTCTGGTCAACTCTTTTCACATAAGCTTTAAAAATAAGAATTGTTCCTCCAAATTGATCCTGAATCATCCGAAAAGCTGAACTCGACCACACACGCAAGTCATAACACATAATATGATGTTGCTCGAGGCCTTAAACCACCAAATGGAATGCTAATTCTCAAAATGACCGGTC